TTCTTCTCTATGCTGAGTTAGTGCAGAAGATTTCCAAACTGATTTCAGAGTGATGAATGTCTGCCCTGCTTTCACAATTACGGTTGGCTTTGACGCCTTTATCCGTCCCGCTGGCCGTAGTTCAAATGATGCTTCCTAGCCAGATAGGTGAAGGACATACACTCTTTCAGATTTCTGTCGTCGATGGTGACTAGTAATGGTTGTTGTCGTTGGTTGGTTTGTAATCTTCATCACTTCTGTATTCTCTGAGCAAACTTGAAGTCATGTTTTTGCTGCCTGCTTCTTCTGATAGTTTGTTGGTTTTTGCTTGCAATTGTTCAAGTTTATATGAAATTAGACATAAGCCATCCACGCGTGAAACCCAGATCTTCTAGGGTTTTCTTATTGGTTCAGTGTGTTTCTGTCTTCTTGCTCCCTAATCACTGTGTGTCGTTTAATCAGTCCACTACATTTAGGAATATTGTCGGTGATAGTATCCAGTCTAACTTCTGCCTTCATTCACTTGAAAGGCTTAACTGAGTTTTGCATTGTGGACCACTGCATAGTAAATATACGTACATGAAAAATGTTTTCCTGGACATTGTACTTTATGGTCTTAGTATTTAACTTTCATGCAGTAGGTTCTGAGGTTCAAAACCTGGACTATCTTTTCATCTTACCTAATTTCGGCAGCATACTGCCAGCACTGCCTCTCAGGCAATGAGTATTTCTCATATACTGATATATACATATATGCGTGGTTTGAAATTTCTTGAGCGACGGAATTGAATTCCCTGGGGCAGGGCTGTGGCGCTTGTTACTGACAATATTTGTTAATCATATATATAGACGCAGATTGATATGAAGTAGACAAAATTAAAAACAACATTTTAAGGCAGTGGCTACAGAAGTAGATTTAGTCTACGTTGTGGGCAGGTAGTAGTCTTATTGCACAACTCTTAGTCTCAAGGTTTAACCTTCAGAAATCAACAACCAATCAGGACAGTTTATTGTACGCTGACTCAGCTAACTTTGAATGTGGCTGAAAATGTGTGTTTTCCCTAATAAAATAAGCCTGTTATCAAGTCTCTTGTCTTCTTCACTTATAGGGTCACTAAACACGCGCCCAGACGTCGCTATTTTACTGGGCTTCGGACCGCTTAGTGAACTGAAGGGGTTGGAAACCAACTAGTATGAAGACTATCACTCAGAGAATATGCGGAAAGAAACGGGGGTGAATTGGAGACCGCTTAATGACATCATACTCCAGCCAGCCAGGCAGTCCCTCAAGCGGAACTCAAATAGGAAGTGTACAACCAGTCGGGTGTTAGTCCAAGGGTGACAACTGGGGAGATCTTGTGTGAAGATGAGGACGAAGTGAAAGCTTACAGGCAGTCTTGGTACCTGCTGAAACTAACGACTTCAGACAGCGGAGTGAAATGGAGATCTGCTCAAGGTGAGGCCTTACGTTCTACAGAAGAACTCAAGGGAGTATTAATGAAAAGTAGAGATAATAAAATGAAAATCATTACAAAAACTGAAAGGTTTCTTTCACTGCATTCCTTCTTCAAATTAACTTTTTGCAAAAAAGTTCACTTTTTCCTAATTAACTCGCCATTTACACAGTCCGGGGTGTTTGTTTCCTAGAAGGAAGCAAGCACTAGTGATTAATGTGAGCTGCTTACAACTACTCGTTTCAACTAATAAGTAGTATGTAGTGTATTTATACTTGGTATCTTGATGACCATTTATGGTATCAAACAAATCACAACACATTGTGTAATCTGATATTTGGTACAATCATGTTAAAACTAGCTGTGTATACAAACTGACATGTATCTGCGACAGCAGTCGCATTAGAAGAAAAGAAAGAAGGGCACACCTTCGATTCACTGAAAATGTACCAAAACGTCTATGCCTCAAGAGAACAAACGCTCTCAACAGTGTCATTGCAAGGCATCTCCTTCATACGAGTCATGAGATGGACGTTAAGAAATCCTTCAAAACTATCCATAGACAAAACAGCTCGATTCTCCTCACATTTTCTGAAGCAATCTCTATCAAACGCCTGAAACCTGATTTATATATATGTGTGTGTTCAGAAAGAAGTAGTTATCAGTCTTTCCTTGAACCTCACCTGGTAAATGGGTGTCTTCATTTTCTATTTCCTTTTATCTGATTGCGTGATCTATGGTTTTAACCTCTCTCCCTTTTGATATTTTTTAACTTTGCTTCTCTCTTATTTCTATGATTTGAGTTGAACTCACTCAATTTATTAGTTACTCATCATCTTAATCACCTCTTGTCTGTATTATGTAAATCCTTTACCAATGTGAGCAAATATTTGCTTTGCTGTAAACTTGAACTGTCTGGGTATAAACTGTATAAGTATTTTCTTAGCACCGTTCATAAAGTTTGAAGTCTCTCTTGTCATTAATGAAAACAAAACACGTATTTCAGCAAAGAGGCATACCTCTCCTTATCGGCGAATTCATTCTCTCCTCCTTATCTGTGCAATCGCATTTTTAATCGATTTAGTTTTTCTCCATTACAGATAAGACTTTATTTCGATAAATCACACAGTGTTGTAGAGTGATATTGACTGATGAAGTTAGAATGATTGATCCCACGAAAATAAGTAATTTAGAAAAAAAATCAGCACTGCATGCATTAACACACAACCACAGAATGGGGTGGGACAGAGTCAAAATTCTAAAAAGTAATCTAGTTAGGAGGAGAGAGAGATTGATTACCGAATCCTGCCTGGTTCACCGAGTCTACACCCAACACGTGCAGCAGAAATGACTTAATGCAAATACAATAAATATGGAAGATATTATTATCACCAGTCAGCCAAATCGGAGGAGGATAATAAATAATCCTAAAATTCTATTTCAATTCAAGCACATCACAACATTCTAACAAGTTACTTATTTTGACTATAAAAACACTCGTCTTATTTCCCATCTTATTGTATTTTGTTGATAACACTTATATTATTTCCGAATGTACTTTATCTTATATTGATTTCATTCTAATGCCTAACCAATTTTACTCATATATATAAATGAAGCAAGAAAGTTAGGTGAGTACCTTGATATGATTATGAGCAATAAGTTGTGCTCGAAACGTCATCAGTTAATATTACTGTATAACACTGTGACTTATCAGAATAAAATCTTATCCATGATGGAGTTATGCTCTATCACAGTGCCCAAGTTTTATACTTATATCAATTTGGTTTTTCATGAAAGAGGATAGTAAGAAACGTGATGAACTGGTGTCCCCATCAAAGTTGATAATATTAGTCAATAAGTGCATGAGAACAGTTGAATATGGAGGGTATTAAAGTTACGTAATAAGATGAATAATTTAAAGAGCGAGCTGAGACCAGGATGTTCACGTAGAAACGAAGGAAAATGTGGAATCATATGGGAGTTCTAAAGAAGTACATGAGTTCTAAGCAGTTAGAAAAGCAAACAAACAATCAAACGAAAATCGAGTGAGTAGTAATCAGCAGCAATGTGGTTGTTACCATGAGAGTAGTAGAAGTGGTTCAGTAATTCTCTTCCATGTATGCATACCTCTGGTTTTGCAGCTGATTGGCTAGACCTTCAGCGATTCAAAGAGGACGGAAGCATACTGTTTATGGTGGGTTGTGCCTCACACACTGTAGATATTTTTTAAGGTGGTGTTTGTTGATATGGGGTGATCATTGTGTTGACAAGATGTTGGATTATCGCACTGCTCCTTATGTAGAGCTGTTAATGTTACCTTTCTGCTACCATATGTTGGGTTTGTGTTCATGAGCCCTTCATTTGGACAGGATATGTGTCGAATGACGAATGCACATTGACTAACCACAGCAATAGGTGAAATGATAAGTGCACTCTCGTATCATTAACTGACATTGTGTCATCACATTTGTAAGTGTTTTAAAATTGTTCTGTTCATTAAAACGTCTCCAAAAGCAAACTAACGAAATAAAAAATGATGGTATCATTATTCAAATCTGAATAATCTCGTTCCATGTAAGATAAATGTATTTCGAATATCACACACAGTGATGAGATGCAGTAATAACAACTGAATGACAAGGTTTCCAGCATAAATTATTGCCATAAATAATCATCATATCAGTTTAGTCACACGGTTTCACAACTTGTCTCATAATTGTTTTCTTTCTTTTCCTCTCTCTGTCTCCCTCTTCTCCTTGATGTCTGTTTCAACTATGTATATCTCCGGCAAAGGCTAAACTTAGCTATACCTAGAATAACTGACCCTACTAAGATTTAAAAAAACTAGAGAAGATAAAGCCCATCCACTGCACTGCACTCACTTGCATGTAATCACACAATAGGTTGAGTTATAGGGGCAGGGTCAGAGTATTAAAAGGGGATGTAGTTAGACAGATAGGCTGATCACTGAAGCTTTGTTCATCGAATCATCACACTACACAACGTCTATACAGGAGATATGGAAAGCGGATACATAAAGCAAGGAGAAGAGCACGCGTGAGAGAGAAAGAGAGAGAACAGTATATATAAGACACATTGTAAAGTTGTATGATATGTGAAATAAACTTCCTCAATTACATCACTGAATAATCTCAGTTTCTAAAGAAAAATAGGGTAAATTACATCACCTCAAACTATGACAAATGTGAATCATTTTGCAAAATGCGAACTTATTTGCAAATCGCGAATTCAATTTATTGTATTACCAATTCGCCCAAGTAGCTATCTAGCTCTTTAGCAAAGCAGAAATAGGATAGGTTAAACTAATTCAGCTTTCTCTGTCTCTCAGCTGAGTACATTGAAGTGATGAGTTCCCCTCCCCTAAAATAGCGAAACAGCCTTCCCATATTGTTTCGTCCACTTCATTCAGATTGGTTAGCTAGCAAACACCTCGCGGATAGCCATGTGAGCGGTAGATTTACACAACTACTCATTTCAACCAATCAGTAGTATATATTCCTTCAATAAAAAAATAATAACACATAGAACAGATTCACAGCTTACATTGGTGACCATTGATAGTCCAATTAAGTAGTTGACTATGCATACACCACCAACAAACGTGCAACGAATCCATGTTTTTGCAAATGCTTTAGGAAAATAATCTGCCACAGCTGTTATGATCCCTTCAACGCCACCAAACTGAAAGAAAGTAAGTAGTATATTGTGCGGAAAAATGTAATGTATAAAAATTGATCAGTAGAGTGATTATATATATATATATATATATATACGTATATATATAATATGTATATACATTCTACATATTAGAAAAATTTGACATGCCAAGAAAGGCATTTCTAACAGGCCTTCTGAAGACTTTGATCAGCAGCTGCCCTCTTTGCTGGCTCCTACCATCTAACAACAATCCAATGTGCAGCGGGATAGCCAGCCCTGTGCCGTAATGTAGATTGATAGGAAACAGCCAAAAACTGAAATCATCATTTTATGCCCATAGTTGTATAGGTTTAGACTTTCAACGTTATTCCTGTTCCCATAGGTCTCCAATGAGACATACAGCTTCGACAGCACATTTCCTCACTAGCTTACTTCAAGAGTCCCTTAGTCTCCTGTCTCCTCCACGCACGATCCCCTCCTAGTCACTTTTCGACCCAAATGCCCGACTAGTTTTTTCCCATTCAGATCCAACTGGAGACACGACATGGAGCCTGATGTCCCTCAGCAAACTCCTCTGAGTATGTCTGGTCCATCAACATCTCCTTCTACAGATTCCTTCTGTGATAGGTTATTGGTTACTTTATTCATCACCAGAGTTCTTTGTTACTAACACTTTCTGGACAATCGGCCATTTGACCTTCAGTATGGACCCAGCGAAGGCAGCTACTGAGAAAAATCTGCAGCTAGTTGACTGCTGCAAAAATACTTCTCGTGAAGGGCTGGACAAGTTTCTTACAAATATAGAAGAACTGACTGACTGAATGGCTGACATAACATTTGTGTTGAAAATCCTAATCTTATTCCTTATGCTGTGGTGAAGTGGAGGAGATTTGCAAACTGGTTTCAGAGTGATGAAGATGTTTGTGTTACCTTTCCTATTCTTACTGGCTTATTTTGACATCTGAATTCGTTCCGCGGAGGTTCTCATGTTCCGTGATGGGAACTCAAAAGGAATGCAAAAAATAACTGAGAACCCTAACAACAGTATTTCTCCTAGTGTTTCCACTTACCATGCTATCAATCCCAAGTAAGATAATCATTGAAAAGAAGCATATCGACCAAAGTGAACTGAAGGGCATTGTTCCGATAGCTTTAGGGTAAACAACAAATCCCAGCCCTGGACCAGATTCTGCAATCAAATTCATCGGAATGTTCGATATATGCGACATATAGCCAAGTGTAGCGAATATTATACAACCGGAAAGTAAACTTGTAAAGGTGTTGGCCACGGCGAATAAGCAACAATCTCTGCAACAACACAGAGAAGGAAAAATAAAAATAAACATTTTCAGTATTAATGTCAAACTTAAAACAAACAACAAAGGTTAATTAATAAAGCAGGATTATTATTTAGTGAATTTCAGGTAGAACTCCTGTTCAGCTGGATACTCTTCATACAGGGATGTCTAGAATTATATTTGGAGGTATTAGACTGATAAGTGGACTGCTAAGTGAATTAATCATCAAAACGGCAAGTGTGAGTGTTCTTCAGGTTATGTTCAGATAGATAAATGGGAGGGAGAAGGTAGGAAACATAAGAGACTAAAATTAAGATACACGTGCCTTACGGTTCAGTTATATCACTTAAATAAACGGGAAGTTATCAGAGAAAGAACAACAGTATTAATAATATGAATAAACCAAGAACAACAGTTTGTGCAGATACATGTAAACTTCCACACTCCCACACCTAGTGCTGGTATTCAAATGCATACTCGTAATGCTTACCATGCATATGCAATTCTAGTTTGACAAAACATCCTTTACCGCCGCATAAGCAGTGTAGCTATGGGCATTCTAATTAGCCCTGTTTTAATAAGTGTTTTCATGTTCAACCTTTAGAGGACAAAGGTGAAACATGCAATTTTGACGAGACACCTGCCTATTGTCGATATGTCACAGATGACACATTTGTAGTGTGCAACAATGAAAGCGTCATGCTTCCTACCTACTGAGATTATTCAACAATTCTATGGAATACTATGAAACATGAAGATGATGGAAAGTTTCATTTCATACAACTCCTGGAAGACGGTGTGGTCTCCAGAGATCAATTTGCCGAAAGCTGAAATAGAATGGACAATACCTACATTTTAATAGTTTTTGTCCAAATAGCTATAAAAGCAAACACTAGTCAAGACTCCTTTCTATTGAGTCAGGAGAATGTGCTTTACGGAGAAATTAGAAGTAGTCTTAATTGTCGAAAAGATGTTGAAGAACAATGGTTATCCCCAGTGATTTATTAATAAGTACGAAAGATGCACTGTAGTCTGAAATACCAAACAATGGATATGGAAAATAGACTATCTTCATTCAACTCGATTTTAAAGGTGACATTGTACTGCAGGACTAGTCAACAGAAGACTGAATACGTCACTAATCACAGCCTATATAACCTGCACTTGGGTAACTTGGTTCCCGTTCATCGGACAACATGCTCTTTGTTGCAATCGAAAGTCGGCAGATACCCTTGTCATGTTAACTTTAACTATGCGTACAAATTTACATGTATCTGCGGGAGCAGTTACGCACACACCTTCGACTTTTTGAACATATACCACCAACGTCTACGTCTCAAGAGAACAAACGCTCTCAACAGTGCCATTGGCAGGCATCTCCTTCATATGGGTCACGAGGCGGACATTGCAAAATCCTTCTGAACTATCAATAGACAAAACAGCTCAATTCTCCTCATGTTTGCTGAAGCAATCTCTATCAAACTCCTGAAACCTGATTAATATATATATATATTCGTTTAGAAAGAAGCAGTTAGCAGTCTTTCCTTGATCTCCCACTTAGTAACTGGATGTCTTCACTCTCTCATTTGATTGAGTAACTCTGAAAATTCCATTCTGTATGATTATGGTTGTCGTTCAGAATAAAGTTGTCATTATTATTATCATTATCATTGCCACTGTATGTATATAATGATTTTTTGTTTAAACGTGAACTCTCTGGATAAGTATGTCGAAATTGTTTTTGTACACAAACTTGATAATAATACCTTTAGGCTGTAAGCAGCTGATGAGAAGTCAACGAAATAAACAATGTTGGTACCATTTTATTTTGCATAAATTTTTGTTTGAGCTTTATTTAAATTCATTAGGGTAATAAATGTACGAAATAATAATGTTAAAACAAGTTAAGATAACGATACCGATAAAGCATAATTTTAAATGAATCAGGAATAGTAATAAGAGGTAGAATAAAACAAAGTATTAATAATAATAACAGTTAATAAGTAAAAAAATACTACTGTGATATATTCAGAGTGACCGCCATTTCCTTTTGTATAAACTCTGATTGCATAGACCTCCTCCGCATTTGTAAACATCTTCCTGTTTGTTTGTCTGCTGACAACAGTGAATGACTGACAGCGTCAGTATCACATCCTTAGTTTACAAGATGCTTTGTTATTGGAGTTTTTTTTGTATTTTGACTTCGGCAGTTTTCAACGACTTTACCGATTGTTTGATCATGTGAGTAGACAATCGCCTCTCTGTAGGACCAATGCATTTGCTTCCACAAACACACTCATCAAGTTGAAACATATACCAATTTTGAAATGTCGAACACTGGCGACCGGTGTTTCTCAGATTGTTCAAGCACCTGTTTAGTAGTTTTAAGGAAGACGGCTTTTGCAGCGTGATAAGTTCTGTTGATAGTTTTGTCAAGTCTTCGCCTGACTACTTCTTGTTCACATCGTCTCCTTTGAATGGCAAATAGATAAGGACAGATTTCTGTGGAACTGCTTGGATAGTTTTGATGGAGCTTAATTCTTTAGAGAATTTATTGTTGAACTTCTCAAGAAATCCATTCTTAGATAAAATATCCTTCGCAAAGTATTTATTCCATTTTGAGTTGTGCGGTCAGAACAAATATTTAGTGCTCTACTGAACAGTATTCTGACTAAGTTCTTTTTGCACTGTATGAATATTCTGTCGGGTCCATGAAAACTTTGTAAATATAAATCTTTCTTTTTGTAATCAGTTCATTTCTTTGGAGAAACATCTTGGAATTTGGTAGCGTTATCGTTTTCCTCGTATTCTATTGTGAAGTTAAGTTTCAGATGATATAAGTTTTCCCCTTTTGACTTGCTTTCGCAGACAATAAAAATATCATCCACATATCTTAGATTTAATTCCGTTTAGATGAAGCAATAAGAAAATGTAATTTGTCTGAATCGTGTAATGTATTGCGCAACACATTTCGAACAATCTGATCACACAGTTGTTGCAGGGCACAGTGACAGCTAATCTAGTGAAGCTTCATGGTCTAAATGTTATAAGTACAGCTACATTTGACTCTTTAAAACCATCAGAATGTAAATTCCCGCATATGTATGGTTTACCAAAACCACACAAACCCAATAATCCTCTACGTCCTATATTGTCACTGTGCAAATCCCCAACTCATAAACTAGCAAAATGGTTAGTAGAATTATTGCATCCAGTCAAAACACAATTCTGTAAGTATGTGTTAAAAGATACATTTGAATTGGTTGATTTTCTTGACAACAGTAAGATTAATATTATGAATAAGAATATGTACTCTTTTGATGTAAACTCGTTATTCACTAATGTGCCTTCCCTCAAAACAGTTGACATTTTGTGTGATTACATTTCCACAAACAATTTTTTCATCCCGTTCCCTATATCTTATTTAAGGGATTTATTATTTCTATGTACTAACAATGTTAGGTTTACATTTGAAGGCGATTGTTTCCGCCAAGTTGATGGTGTTGCTATGGGAAGTCCGTTAGGGCCCCTTTTAGCAGATATTTATATGTCGTACATTGAGAACTTATCGGAGGATTTAATCGAAAATGTGCCAGTCTATAGAAGGTATGTAGATGATATTGTAATCATCAGTGATAAGTCTTGTTCTGCCGCCTCAATTTTAAATCGAATGAATGAAGTTCAGAATAGCATATCACTTACATCTGTAGAAGAGGAAGATAATTGTTTATCTTTCCTAGACATATTGCTTAGTCGACGGCTTGATGGGTCAATAAAAAGATCTATTTATAGAAAACCTACCTGGACAGGACAGTATCTTAATTGCCACAGTTTCTGAGCTTCTCGGTACAAAACAACCTTAGTGAATGCGGTGCCTCTTCAGTAGAATCCAACGAATATGCACTGAAGACACACTTGATGAAGACAAAATAAAGCTGACACAAACTCTGGTTGATAACTGTGATCCAGACAAGTTCATCAGGAGATATAAAGTAGTCAGAACACCAAGATCCACTCTACAACTCGCCCCTAAGAAAGACGTGTACATTAAGCTACCCTGTATGGGGCATCATAACAGCTTGATAACTGGACAAAAGCTGAACGCTGCTGTTAAAAAGACTTTTTATGCAGCTAATGTCGTAATAATTGAGAATGTGAAGCCAATATATCTATCTAAGCCCTTCGAACATGCGAAAAATGATGTATTTACCAATTTGAATGTACGTGTGGACACACATACATAGGGAGGACTCATAGATCTCTGTAAGTAAGGGCCTCAGAGCATATTCCTAAGTGGCTCCAGAAACAAATGGAATCTTCAGAACCCATTAATGGTGAGAACAGGAGACCTAGCTCCTCTATTGCGAAACATATTATAGAAACAGGACATAAAATTGACATTAACACATCTTTTAAACCTATCTATAAAACGTGTTTTGGGCGTATCCTAAAGTTTGTGGAAGCCCTAGCAATTAGAATGTTTAAACCACTTTTATGCGTTCAAAAACAATTCGTCATCACATTAAACCTTCCTTGGTAAATTTTGTTTTGATACCATAGCAGATGTACTATTACCCCTGCTATTTGGTTCAGTGGTCTTCATTGTTATTTTGACCTTCAATATGTCCTTTCAACTTGACCTAACTTTATTTTCTCACCTTTTAACTCTTTATTAATTTCATATATATTCTTATGACAAGTCCGTGTATATGATCAGATTGTTCGAAATGTGTTGTGCATATACATTACAAGCCGATTCAGACAAATTGCGTCTTCTTATTGCTTTATCTAAATTCATAAAGACAACTAATTGTTTTAACTAATTCCGTTTGTTGCAAACTGCTGGCTTCTAGGCCTGACAAGAATACATCCTCAAAATGTGGTCCTAAGTGACCCCCAATTGCAACACCATCAACTTGAAGGAATTGAAGTTCACTGGATTTAAGCAGGATATTTTCAGTACATTAAAATAACGACCTCCTCAATTTCGATTTTAGAATGTACATGTCG